GTCGGGGTATTTTAGCAAAATTTCAAATGTAGGAAGTTAAATGATTCAAAAAATAATAATAAAAAATACTATTTTATTAACATTTGAAAAGGAGGGAATTTAGTAATCTATATAACATACCCACCCATTTATCCTCCCAACTAGACATATTATTCACCAATTTATTTGAACCATCCAAACACATTTTCTAAACACTCCCAGTAATCTTCAAGGTAATCTTTCTTTCGGTTAATATAATATATCCCTATAATAAAACATTATATGATCCAAACACCCCCTTATATATAAGTTACTTCATTAGATAATTGATGGCGCTTTCATCGTATGAGTTAAATCCATTTTGGTCTCTAAGATATGACCTAAGTAAAATACGATCTAGGAGAATTTGATAGTAACATTTAGGTCCTTCTCACATATTAACCTTTTAAAACTTTTATATAAATGTTTAAAATACCCTTAATTTGTTAATTTCTTATAATTAATAAAATTGTTCTATACTTTTACCTGAATTGTCAGGTAATAGCCATTCATATTTTTTTATAAATCTAATATTTTTTAATTTCATTTAAAATAGAAAAGATTAGAGGCATATTTTAGACTGTTACAATAAAATTTAAAAAGTGCTACCTAGCTTACAAGGACCTAAATGTTACTATCAAATTTTATTGGATGTTAAATTACTTAGGCAAAACCTCAAGGAACAACATGTATTTAACTCTTTCATATATAAATGTTACTATTTATGCACATACCATAATGCTAAAAAAGTGATACTGAATGTATCCTATTTACACTAACACAGTTATATGTAACACTTTTTTAAGCATTATTTATCTGTCGGGCTTAAAGTTATTGGTATTGTATTCAGGTGCTATAAATAAGTAGCATATATCATTAAAATATGAGTAAACAACATGTTCCCACCCAAGGTTTAGCGAAACCCCAAGTTAGTATCCCTGGTTTCATAAATTCTAGATTCATGTCCTTAAATTAACTATGTTTCCTTTCTTTTAACAGTTAAAGGTTAAATTAGTCACTTACTGTATTTTAAATTTTTGCAGAAACATCTCTCAACTTTGTGTCTCCAACCAATGCCGCCGCGGGTCCTTGGCGCCATCTGCAAAATCAAACTGCAACTCCCTTGGTCCATTTCACCTCCCAACCATCCTCCTCATCATTCCCGGTCATCTCAACCAGCTCCCTAATAAGGAAACTGCACACTAATGGGAGATTGCACATTTGGGCAAAGACTGAAGGGTTTTTTATTGGGGAAATTTAACAAACAGTTGGTGGGCAAGGTGGAGGGATGTGGAAAAGAGTTGTGGTAATGGCTAGAAAAACCAATTACAACTCAAAATCACAGCCAACCAATCAAACACTCAGCACACTTCCAAAATCAATCAAATAGATCGAACTCCAATTTTACCCAAAAATAGATAAAATTGCGAAACCCTAAGTTGGGTGGTGGTCAACAAATGGTGAGCTACCATGGTCAGGGATGATAGGGGTTTTGGTAGGGGTTGGCCAGTGAGCACAGTGGTGGTCTTAGGGAAGGTTTCTAACAACAAAATTAGTTGAAAAGGAAGAATGTTCGCGCGACACAAATTGGAGGGCGGCGGCCAACGACGGTGGGATCAAAAGGTCCAGAAGGTTAGGGGTTTTGTTTGGGGGATCAAAAGGTTGAAGATGGTGGGGTCGGGGGGTACAGACAATGCCGAAATCAGGCCGATTTGGGCTGAGATCGGCAGTCATGCAGTGAGGGTGTGGGTGCAGGAAAATGGTGCAATTCGGTCAGCTTTTCGGTTAAACAAGGCTAGGAAAGGTGCAATCAATGTTGGGGAAGAATTTTTGTCGTGATTGGTGAAGAAAACCGGTTGGGAGGCAGCCAAAATGTTTGCGGCAGTGAAGAAGATGAGGGGAGATGAAGAAGAAGAAGAAGGTCTGAGAGCAATTTGGTAAAAGCCCACTCTGCTCCCTATCTGTCACTAACGACGTCCATTTAAGGGTAGGAATGTGGAATTTATGAAACCGGGAGTACTAACATTGGCTTTTAGTAAACCTTGGGTGGGAACATGTCGTTTACACTTAAAATATTATAGTAGTGTGAGTTTTATCTTAGGTTCAAAGTTACCGAGTCCATTTGTTTCAATATTTTCCCTTATCCTATTTCTACTATTTTCAAAATACACATTTGTTTCCCTATTCTGAAAATACTACTATATTATATTCACTTATTTTTTAAATCCCCTAAGTTTGTTAATTTAACTAAACACCCCCAAATAAAAGTTTAAAAATTGATAAAAACACCCCCACCACCCACATTTGCCAGATTCTGACCACCACCGGGGGAAGGTGGTCGGAATCTGGTATAATTGCACACTACCAGCTAGATCTGGCCGGTAGTGCACCGCTATAGTCTTTTCCGGCCAGATCTTTGGCCGTAGCTAGTCATTAATGACGGCCAAGATACAACTGTCGTTGACCATCAACGATAGTCGTCAATGGCTAGATCTAGCTATAGATATGGCATTTTCCAGCCAGATCCATGATGGATCTGGTTGGAAAAGGTCATCTCAGCGAACGACCGACCATATCTAACCGGTTGTGCGCTGATACGATGACTCCAGCCACACTACAACGGTGGTGGCCAGCTGCCAGTATTTAATGGGTGGGTGGGGTTTTTTTGTAATTTTTAATGTTTTTATTATAGGGGTGTTTAGTAAATTAACAAACCTAGAGGGTGTTTTTTTTAAATTTTAAATCCTACCTCGTTATTCCTACCCAACTCTTACTAGTTCAAAAATACTATTCTAAATACTAAAACAAACACACCCACCGATATTATATTTACTGTAAAATAAGTAGTTTATTTAATTAAAATATCGGAAGATATAAATAATTTCCCAATTCTCTCTCTAAATTCTCACAACTGTTCATTCTTTTCTCTAAAAATCCCCTCTTCCTCCTTTCATTTCATTTTTTATAAAAAGTATTCCAACAAGCCTTTAACAACTCCACCCCTTCCTTGCCCTTGGTTGTTGTCGATGTCACCGGCACCACCAGCCAAGGGTTCCTATTGTCCTCTCTATATATATGTATATACTTTCACATGGCAAATAATGTTGTTAAAAAATTTTGTAACCTTGATAAATTGGTACAAGTCGATTTGTCAGTTTTGCATTGAATTCTATGAAGTTATAATATCAAATATTGTGTTAGCTACAATGAACAAGAATTTAAAAATCCCCCAAGACTTGCTTCGCAAGCCTGACTTCAAAATTGGAACCCCCAACAAACCCTGAAATCTTTGGAAAGCAGGAAACAATGGCCTGCCTTGGATTATCATGATTTAATACGACTAATGATGGATTATGAATACAGAATGGGATAAAACCAATGTTTTTATACCCAACCCAGGCCTTGACCTGGTCAAGAGGTTGGGTCTCAGGTTGACCGATCCGACCTGTGACATCAGCATATTTAACAAGTTTAAAATTCAACAAACACATCCTTAAAAATTTTAATTACCTACATATTTGAAATCTAACAAACACACCCTTGTAATATGGCCAAATGCAAAGCATATGGGTTAAATTTAATTAGTCCCTACAAATTTGAAATCTAACAAACACACCCTTGTAATGTGGCCAAATGCAAAACATATGGGTTTTTTTTATTGCACTTGCACATCAAAATTGAAGAAAAGAAAAAGTGATTTTTGTGCAATTTTTCTCTTGTTTTTCATGTTTTAGATTTATAGATAAATTTTTATCAATTTATTAGATATCTCAAAGTTTCACAATTTACTACTCCTTTTAACTTCAGACTTCATATCTTATTTTAATAAATAAAATAACTTTAAATCACCAAATTTCAACTCAATATTTAAAACCAAAAAGCCAAAAAAAGGTGTTTTAATATTTTTTTTCTCTTAACTTGTGCAATAATAATATTATATATGTTAAAATGGTAATGATCATAAATAAAACTTTACTATTTAAAAAATTTATTCCGATCTTCAAACTAAAATATATATATATATATATATAACATTTAGATTTATTATTTTCAACATTCGGAATAAATGTATTATGATAAATATTAAGAAAATTTTAAGCATAATTTTCCCATTACCCTTTCACTACTTCTCCTACCTCTTATTCTGCATAACTATGGTTCACCAATGATCATGTTCACCAACTCATCGAGTCAACTCACTTCCATTCTTAAACCTCTAGATCTCATTGAAACCAACAAGAATGTAGACTCAGTTTTACATTTGATCTTCTTCAATTTTGTTAATATTTCCAAATGAATTGCACATCAAAATTGAAGAAAAGCAAAAGTGATTTGAAGTTATGAAAAATGCAGATTTTCAAAGAAGAAACGAAAAATGGAAACCCTAAACCAAGGGGTTGGCCTGGCGGTAAAAAATATTTTCTCTCTTTATTAACTTCCTAAATTTAAATCACGTTAGGATCATCTATCACATTTGTAACTTACCTTAAAATATTAGGCTTGTAGAATGCTCAATGAGCCTCGAAGATTAATTGAGGTGCATGCAAGTTGATCAAACTCACTCAAACACCCCAACATTAAAAAAAAAAAAAAAAAAAAAAAATGAAGGATCGAAGATTTGAAGATGAAGAATAAAGATTTGGGAAGTTAGGGATTTTAACTTTGTAACCCAGTTTTGGCATCAGGTCAATTGAACCAACAGGTCACTACAGTACGCTGGTTCAACCGATCAACCGCAGTCCAAACTAGAGTAAATGTAAAAATGAATTTTAGGGGGTAACCAGCTCAGTGAAGGCTCTGGTTTCCTATCCGACCAGTTGAACCGATCAGGCATTAAAACATTGGATGAAACATATTTTTATAGCAAAAAGAATAAAAATATAATGCGCAATCGCAATATACACTAACAGATACATTAACAGTTTAAAATATATGTTGAGCAAATGACTGATAATCATAAGCTAAACTCTTACAAATGTGAGTTCGAGAAAATCTCATTAAAAAATCCAAGGGCCCTGGATTCTCCAATTTTTTTATTTCTATAATAAGAAGAGTCCTTGATACTAATATTGAGAAGCTGTGCATCCATGCAAAGAAATAAAAGGATCTTAGAAACACCTAGAACAATAAGGATAAGATTCATCTTCACTTTTCTTCTGTTGAGATAAATAAATTTTCGTTCTATCTCCAACATAAATATTTACAAAATATCTAAATCAACAATTACCTCATTGATTGAATCAACAAGGATTTAGATTCAACAGTGAAAATTGGCGACTAAATTTTGGAAAAGCAGACAATGAAGATTTCATATTCAAGACAAGCATCTTTAGGCACTCAGTTGCATCGAGAGAATTGAAGATAGCTTGAATTTACGGACTTTGTTAGAATCCTGTGGCTGAAATAAAACTTCAGTACTTGATCTCACAGTTACTTCCTTCCACTCCGAAGAAGTTGATGTACCCTCACTTCGATAATCACGAGGACAGTACAAAACTTGGAGGCGTGAAGGGGCTGCAATTGCCATGAACAGGAAGTTTAAGAATAAGAAGAGCAAACAGAAGCACAAAAGCATAAACATGATTGCGGTGTCTCTGTATGTTAGGTATTCTTTTCCCACAAGGGTTGGAAGGTGAGAGAGCTGATGGCTGAACTATGGACTCTTATTGTCAGGCAGTTATTGGATCAAAATGGCCAAAAGTTAGATCAATTTTAGCATCATGGACATTGATATTTGTCACCGCTAGATCATCTTCAAAAGCCTTCTATGAGAAATGCAAATAATATGGTAACCTTAAATAATAAAAATCCACCATTTTTACCCAGCTCTTACATGTCAAGAAACAAAACAATAATCTGGCTCCAAGCCATGTACTTGATTGTTATTCAAAACATTCATTTTATTCGGCTTTTGTTCGCGGCAACAATATGACTTGCATTTTGCATCATAAGATCATGAAACTTACCTAATTTCTTCTCTAGACACCGAATAAATTTTGATTTCATTGACAAATAGGAAATTTATTATAGTTAGCATATAAGAATTCCTATATATAACATGAAAAAGCATTAATAGCTAGAAGGGATAATTTTATACCAAGTCAAAGTACGGGACAGAAGTTGGTAAAATTTGTGGTGAATGGATTAAACATGAGATTTAAAGTCCCAAGCTCTCTCCAGCCTTAACCATGATGCAAATGGAAGTAGAAGAAAAGAGAAACGTCATAAATGATTGAGAGAATACCTAATCCAAACATACTAGTCTTTTGGATGACCAACCGGCTCACTTTAGATCTTTTGATAGGTCTCAATGCCTGTGTATCTTCTTGCTTCCCTTTAAATTCAAGAAACTCACCTAGTACATATTTATTACCTTTAACTTCCAACCTGCAAATAAGTAGGGAAATTTATATCTTTTTTCCTGAAGTGGCAAACATGTAAAAAATACATCAAATCAATGATGGAAAAAATTCAATCAAAGAACAATCAATCATTTGAGTATGTTATACTATCTGTTCCATAAACTTGGTGGGATGGGACATGTCCAACATAGGTGACAAGCCCAAGGACAATCCAAACCCTACGGCTATTCAAACCAACCACTATATACTTAAATTGGAGTCAATCAACAAAAATAGTTAAAAGGTGAAGGGCATCGTCAACGTTCTAGATTCTGATGTTGCTCATGGTACCAATGCCAAACAGGATCTTGTCCAAGTCAAGCAAGAGTGTGAGACTCTTAACATATATTTTCAAAAAACAATACAGATTAACTTTGTTCATTGAATCCTGATATAGAGATTACAAGTAAAAAAAATATATATATTAAATTGAAATATAAACAAATTAAGCATTTTAAAAACCTAAATTTGCCTGTTGCAGCCTACCAAATGAAAGCTATGTGCTGACATGCAATTTTAGTACGAACATGGGTTTTTCAAATTCTGCTTTGAAAAAAGATGGACCACACATCTACACCAAAAAAACTTTGCCTACATCATCAGAGTCTGCATACCTTTGAGATAATTTCTAGCACCAGCAACATTTTCTACAATAAACCGTGGCCATTTTATCAGATCACAATCATCTTTCACCGTGAGAACAGAAGCAAGGATGATAGTTCTATGTATGAAAGTTAATTATTGCTAGTTTTGTTTTATTTTTTATAGGAATCAGAAAATTCAGGGAGGTGGACCAGAAATCCATGGAAAAAAAATTAGTCATCATAACTTTAACAAGTAATCACCACAAACTTTTTTTCATCACTGTTTTTGTAAGAGCTTTAGTCTCTACTATCCAGTGTCACTGGTTACATACAAGACTAATATACATATGACGCAGAAGATTCGATTGCAGGTTTCTCTATCTTTCAACTAGGATTTTCTTGATTGGTACCCATGTTATCCACCAAACAGTTAATTGACATAAATATAATACAATAATATGCAAACAAAACAATCACAGAATATCAAGGTACAGAAAAAAAAAAGGGAAAAAGAAAAAGTAAAAAATAAAACCTGTCCCAGATTGGAGCTGTGGAGAAAATGAAATTGAGTTGCTGATGAATAGATTCCTGCATCTCTTTTTTTCCACCACGAAAGGCACCCTTAATCCAGCCCGAAAGCATACTTTTTTGTTCTGGTTTCAATAGGGTCCACTGGTCAAAGGTAATCACCTCGGGCGGAAAATTGCTTGAATAAATGGAGCTAGAAAAATAAAACCAAATTTTATAAGTTAATCAATGAACTATCCACAAATATTTTAACACCGAAGTGTGATACAATCAGTACTTCACCCTCAGAATATAAGCACACTTAAGGGCATAACTAACAAAATGGATTCCAAATTTTGCAACTTTCTTTTCTGAAAATATTTTCAATGTCATAGTCAAAATCATTCATCTTTCTCTCAGAGCAAATACTATTTATGGGCAATAAAAATTTTCCTCATCTCAAAATATTTATGTTGACTATCAGAACAATAATCTGCTAGGTCAAGTGCTTCACTAAGAAATTTTCTACCAAAAAAACCAGCCTGTCTCAGACTGCTTCGAACATACAAATAACACAGTACATTTATCACCAATACCACAGGAATAAATTTCTTGGTTAAGAAATTTGATGATAATTACAGTAATAGAGCATAGGACAATAAAAAAGCAGTAATTCTGTTATCAAGTAATATGCATTCATCAGTTAAAGCAACTGAAAAGTACATCAAAGCTCCCCACTTTCAGCAGAATAAACTAAACTGCATCCCTAGGCACACCATTATGAAGATACAAACACATACCTAAATTTTGGATTAGGAAGTATCACTTTGTACGAGAAATATCCTTCTGGCAGGGCAACTCCCCTTTGTTCAAGATATGCTTCAAGAATTGAAGCTTGTTTTTTAGCTTCCGCAACCTGAGACATAGAAATTACTGAAAATCAAATTATTGAGAAAAAAACGAAATCAGTGTGTATTCCTCCGTAAAGCTACAGNATTCAGGGAGGTGGACCAGAAATCCATGGAAAAAAAATTAGTCATCATAACTTTAACAAGTAATCACCACAAACTTGTTTTCATCACTGTTGTTGTAAGAGCTTTAGTCTCTACTATTGAGTGTCATTGGTTACATACAAGACTAATATACAAATGACGCAGAAGATTCGATTGCAGGTTTCTCTATCTTTCAACTAGGATTTTCTTGATTGGTACCCATGTTATCCACCAAACAGTTAATTGACATAAATATAATACAATAATATGCAAACAAAACAATCACAGAATATCAAGGTACAGAAAAAAAAAAGGGAAAAAGAAAAAGTAAAAAATAAAACCTGTCCCAGATTGGAGCTGTGGAGAAAATGAAATTGAGTTGCTGATGAATAGATTCCTGCATCTCTTTTTTTCCACCACGAAAGGCACCCTTAATCCAGCCTGAAAGCATATTTTTTTGTTCTGGTTTCAATAGGGTCCACTGGTCAAAGGTAATCACCTCGGGCGGAAAATTGCTTGAATAAATGGAGCTAGAAAAATAAAACCAAATTTTATAAGTTAATCAATGAACTATCCACAAATATTTTAACACCGAAGTGTGATACAATCAGTACTTCACCCTCAGAATATAAGCACACTTAAGGGCATAACTAACAAAATGGATTCCAAATTTTGCAACTTTCTTTTCTGAAAATATTTTCAATGTCATAGTCAAAATCATTCATCTTTCTCTCAGAGCAAATACTATTTATGGGCAATAAAAATTTTCCTCATCTCAAAATATTTATGTTGACTATCAGAACAATAATCTGCTAGGTCAAGTGCTTCACTAAGAAATTTTCTACCAAAAAAACCAGCCTGTCTCAGACTGCTTCGAACATACAAATAACACAGTACATTTATCACCAATACCACAGTAATAAATTTCTTGGTTAAGAAATTTCATGATAATTACAGTAATAGAGCATAGGACAATAAAAAAGCAGTAATTCTGTTATCAAGCAATATGCATTCATCAGTTAAAGCAACTGAAAAGTACATCAAAGCTCCCCACGTTCAGCAGAATAAACTAAACTGCATCCCTAGGCACACCATTATGAAGATACAAACACATACCTAAATTTTGGATTAGGAAGTATCACTTTGTACGAGAAATATCCTTCTGGCAGGGCAACTCCCCTTTGTTCAAGATATGCTTCAAGAATTGAAGCTTGTTTTTTAGCTTCCGCAACCTGAGACATAGAAATTACTGAAAATCAAATTATTGAGAAAAAAACGAAATCAGTGTGTATTCCTCCGTAAAGCTACAGATATCAGAGACTTAAGGACTGATGAAGAAAACCAAATTAAAAGAAATAATTGAAAATTCAATCAAAACATCTTCTGAAATAATTGAGAACAAGTGTTCCATAAAGGAGCTCTACACAACAAAATACAACTAATTTCACAACATATGGAAACAAATTTCTAAAAATGAAAAACACCAACATAATACTTTAGATCATTCAAACAATTACAATATAGTTACAAGTTAAATTGCCCCACAAATATGAAGTTCGAGATATGAATAAGATATAGAATGCTACGCTGTTAATACAGACAGAGACACTGCAACACAAAAGGATCAATAAATTTTATAGTCATAACTTCATAACAGATAACAGTTATTGAATTTTAAGGGTAGCAATGTGGCACTATCAATACTAGAAGCATGCCTAATTAAGCCGCTATAGAAGAGACACACAGAACTATGACTTACAGGATCAGGATATTGCCTCGATCTGTGCCGATGGTCGCCTTCAAAAACCCAGCTGCCATCTCTGTTGATTGATACAATTCCTGACAAATTCTTCACAGAAACCACCACTGCCTCCCTGTAATAAAGCATTATTATATCGCCAAGAAAGTTGAAAAAAGAAATAAAATATAATAAATAGAGAAAAAAAACTAGGATTTTGCTACCACAACTTGAAATTCACAATTCACAAGTCATATTTCACTATACACTCATTATCCGCTTTTTTATTATTTTAAATCAACTCCTAAACTCTAAATGCATAAGTTAAAAATCAGCACCACGAGTATATGGAGTTCACAAAATTTTGTCTTCCAGAGAATTCGCTTGACAGTGAATTCTGCGACCTTCTGTCAACTTATGATACAAATTTAACTCATGCATTAATGTGTTAAAGGAATGGAATTTAAAGTGTAAGAATCTATGTCCCCACATGAGACTTTCTATCTCACTATGAGTTTTTGCATTGCTAAATTTGGCCCTGTAGTATTAACCCAGTCCCACCAATATGTCAGCAAGACCAGAGAACATAAAAAACAAGTAATTAATTTAAGCTTATTCTACTAGAATCTATGGTAGGAATAAAAATTCTTCTATTAATCAGCCAAAAAAAGAAATTGAACAACAATATAAATAATAAAAATTAAAACTTTACCCTTTAGTAACAAGAACAATATCAATATTCTGTCGCGAACCGGTATCCGGATCCGGAATTCGGAGCCCCACGTATGCCTTTCCTCCGTAAAGCTTTTCTAATCTACAAATTAGTCAAATTAATAAATAAATAAATAGCTTTCTAATCAAATAAATTTAATTAAGAAAAAAAGAGATCAGTTAAGCCAAGCTTTAATTTCATTTCTCACAGTCTCAGCAAACAAAGAAGCCAAAATATCTATAAAATTAAGCTTAATTAAGTAGAATTTTTACGATAATACATCAAAAAGTAATGAATTCAACCTATTAGCCACTGAGAAAATAGCATTAGAATCGGAGGTTTCGACGTCCAAATCGTCGTCGTCGTAGAAGATTCGCTTGAACAATTTGTAAAGTACGAGACCGCAGAGAATCTGCACCCACATGGTGGCCGGAATTGGCGATGTTTGGTTTCCCGGAAAATGAAGTGTAGTGGATTTCCTTGGAAAAAACAAAATTGTGTTTGGAATTTCTTTTCAGCAGTCGACGTGGAGGAAATATATGGCTGACAAAACGGCGTCGTTTGAAACCACTGCTCGTTTTACACGCCGAAGACCACTTAAGCGCTAAGGAAACTAATGGACCGTTAGGTTTGGGAAAAACTTTTTTAAATAATTTTTATTTTTTGTATATAATATTAACAAAAAGTTATAATACATTTCAAAAAAATAAAAAAATATTAATAGAATAAAAATGCTTTTGGAATTTAAAAAAAAAAAAAAAAAAGGTTGTTGGAGAAAAAAATATTTTTACTGCGTGTTTGTGGAAAACGATATTGAGATTAAGAGTGTTGATGTGTGATTTTGACACCAACGAAACGCACATGTGAAATGTTGGGTTGGCCTAAAAGACACACGTGAATGGAAAGGAAAATGACAGTAAATGCAGTGAGAAAGGAGTTTTAAAGTAGTTCAGATGCTAAGGAAGCAAATCTTACGTCCACTGATGTTTTCATTAATGATAATGGTCCGATCGCTTTAGACGACTGACTTTACACTGATGATACAAGGTATCAAAGATTGTCTTTTCTAGAGAGAGAGAGAGTTTTTTCAAGAGTAAAATGTGCAAATCCCTTAATGAAAGAGGAGCTCCCATTTTATAGTGGGATGCCTTGAGGTAATGATCACTGAATCTGTAAGTTGGTGGGATGATCCGTGCAAATCCTTCTTTTAGAGTAATTCACGTGATTTGCTGCAGGGGTTGGACACGCGGGATCATCACAACTCCTTGTTGGCCTGACGTGCACCCATTATTCTGACGGAAGCAAGCTGTAACCATGATCACATGACGCAGCCGCACCAGAATGGCAGTAGACTCTTCCCGAGATCTGACCTTTTGCACTTAACTGGGCGCCACGTCAGCCCTATGTTCCCAGGCATAACAGAAGTCCCTTAGTTTTTAAGGTTTGAGAACCGAACCTTGGAAACTACAAGTCATGCCGTAATTGGCTGATTCTTGGAGATTCTAGAAATTCCGAAAATTCTGGAAATTCTGACCTGTCTAAAAATAGGTCGGGATGGCACTTTTTCAAGAACGACCTCGCATGTTCATTGTTTGCAGGGGATGAACGACCTGATTTCGTCAGACGTCACTTGTTGTCCTTTTGATATGGGTGCATTTAATGAAGCAGTCCCTGCGCTGACAGATGTGCCCTATGCGTTATAAGTGCTAGCCAGATGCATTAAATGCGTTGTGCGCTGACACAATACGCCTTATCAGGATATTAAATGCGTTGTATGTTGGAACGACGCCCTTTATCAGAGCATTAAATGTAGATTTGAGACGCAATTAATGCTCTGAGGAAGAGAGATGGTCGTCGTTTGAGCTTTTCAACGGAAGAGATGAAGGTTTGACTTTATCCAGTCGTGACGCTCACTCTTCCCCGCTGATGCGCGACACGTGGCCGTGATCAACGGTGAGAAACCTTTGCCGCCCAAACATCGTTTCGATTCCAAGAAATTGAAACGCCGATTCATACGCTATAAAAACCTCGAGTCGTTCTCAGGCAATGTCACCAGAGCCTTTTTCTTAGAGAGTAAAAGATTTTCGCAAACTTGGAACCTTTGTCTTTCAAACCAGCATTTTTCCAGTACTCGAAGCGGAAGCTATTCTCATACTTCGAGAGGTAAGAGTTTTTCCCAGTTTTTGTTTCATTATCTTCCATGGTTGAATGGCGTCTGTCTTCCAGTAGCCTATCGAAGACGAGATGCTTAGGTTGGGTTCGAGCCATGAATGGCGGCTCAAATCATGTCGTTAGGGTTTCCTTTGGAATTTAGGGAGTTTGTTTCCTCCCACATCATCGTACAAATAGCATACGGCGGCTAAATGACCTTTCTGCTTATCACTTTTGCAGACTAGTAAAATAGACCCCTCAACAACCAGATCCGAACAGGGAACTGGTTTGTCCCCACAGGGTGCTCCAAACATCCCTATCGAGGTCTTCTCGGTTCTTACTGAGGATGAGCTCGAGAGGGTAATAAAGCAGTATGGCATCGAGATGGATGCTTTTCTCGACGTGGCACACTCATCGCGGTACCCGCTAAGTGGTCTGGCAGTGGTCTCCGAGGAGATCATCAAGGGTGGGGGACTGATCCCCTTCCACCCTTTCATCAGGTCGCTTTTGAACCACTTCGAGGTCGCACCGATGCAGCTGACTCTGAACGCTTACATCATTGCCGTTGTAATGTACATAGCGTGCCAAGAGAACAGGTTGGGCAAGCTGATCGCGATGGAGGTCGGTTGCTCGTATTATTTGAAAAAGAGCAAAGACAAGGACTCTTACTACTTGTCCAGGCGACTTACTATCGCCGATGGGATACACAGCTACTCGAGCAACGCGGGGGCCTATGAAACGAAGTTTTTCTTCTTTCATTATGATGGCCATTGCAGGTTCCAAGAACCGAGTAGGCTCCCTTTTTTTTTTTTTTTTTTTTGGCAAGTTCATTGCACTCGAAATATGCTTTTCCAACGACATGTTTCCTTTATGACAGTTAACAAGACGACCGACCTAGGGCTGCTCTTCAATAGAAGTATGATCCTGCATTTTGGATCCCTACCCGAGGACAAGCGCGATGCGAAGAAACTCATGACGACCGCGAGTTTGTGGAAATACGATTTCTTCAATGCAAACTCGTCGTTAGAGCCTCCATTGAGTAAGTCCTGCTAACTGGTCCCTTTATAGTCGTGTAAAGTGATATTTTGGCTAATGATGCTTTGCATGCAGCGACCATGCCTCCGAAGGAGTCAGAACAGCCGCGACGAAGGCCGCTCAATTTCCCTCGGACTAAGAAAGCCAAAGCGGCCTAAGCTGCTTTGAACGTTCCTCCGGCAGAAGGCGCAACATCGGGCTAACCGACGCAACCTTCTGAAACTTCTTAAGTGCAACCTTCAGAGGACATGCCAATGCAAACCACGAAGGTCTTCCAGTCGTCGCCTGCTCGCCCGAGGCTGAAGACAATGGCCCAGTGGAAGAAGAGGAAATGGATTCAGGTCGAAGAGCCAGAGACCGAATCTAAGGGCGATCAATCAAACAGGTTGCGGCCAGACACGAGTAGGTCGGGCAAGGAACCTATAGACGACAGGACCACTGTTGAGTCCGCAAAGAAGGATACTCTAGTGCTGGGCTCGCTGGGGAACCTACCAGAGTACCTACAGTCGGTGGTATACGCCCTATTGGAATGCGGACTCTCAGAATCTTTCGAGCAGTTCACAAGTTCCAGCGACGTGGGCCTAATGTCCACATCGGTCCAACACTTAAGCAAGGTGAACAAACTGTCCTCAATGAGGACTTCCTTTAGCTTCTTTTGATTAGCTAACTCTTTCTTTCTTTGTTCGCAGGCTCTTCTTTCCATGTGAATGTCCATGGAAAAGATTCAACTGGGAGCCGTGAAGGGAGGTGTTGCCCTGAAGGAAGAGAACGTAACGCTCAAGTGAAGCCTGAAAGCTGTCAAAATAGAGAGAAACATGTCTTCTGAGTCAGCGAACAGGTACCTGAACGAAAGAGACGCAGCTCTTCGTACAGTGGACTTCCAGAAAGCCAGCTCGAGAAGCATGGAGAGGAAGTAAAGGAGTTACAAAGGACCATAGCCAGACTCTCCAAGAAGGCCGGGGAGAAGGACCAGGAGCTCAAAGCGACTTCTCTGCAGGTCTTACAAACAGAGCAAGAGAGGAACACCTCCGAGAAGGAAAGGCAAGCTCTCGAAGTTGAACTTTAGGAAAGTCAAGAAAAGTTACTTCCTTAACACAAGAGATGCAAGATCAGGTAGCGGAGGTCGAGGAGAAGGCTGCCGAATGGGCAATCGACTCTATTTATGCCTTACGACCGAAGAATCTGCGACTTGACTTGTCCGACCTCCCGGAAGACTGGCAAGATACACTTATGTCCATGGTGCGGGAGGATGATGAAGCGGTGGCCTCCCGAGCAGGAGGTTTAGGACACACCTAGGATAAACCCTCAACCGACCAGCCCTACGACAACGAGGTCAGCCCTCTAAGAGCCGGATTAGGGCTTATAGTTATGTCATTTTGTCTGTTGTACTCCACATTAATGAAATACATTTCTGCTTTTACAATTTTTGTTCGCTTTATTATACATGAGTACTTTCTGATTGCTTACATTTACTGAAACAAGTGTGATAACATAACACATTCACACAGAACAAGATTACATGCGAACAAAATGACACTTTACAAGGAAATTATTTACATAAATTGCAAGTTAATTTACAAGGAAAACTGAGTTCGGAATTACTTATAGTATGGTCAAAGGTGCTCAGCATTCCAAGCTCGGAGTGCCTTGGAATCGTTTAGCCTTTTGAGAAAATAAGTCCCCGGTCTTATCACTTTGTCGATGCGGTATGAACCTTCCCAGTTCGGTCCTAACATTCCCACACTTGGTTTTCTGGTACCGAGAAAACTTCCTTTAGCACAAGGTCGCCGACCTGGAAGTCTCTTCGCCTGACCTTTGAATCGAAGAATCTCTTCGCGCGTTGCTGATAGGCTGCTATCCTTAGCGAAGCCTTGCTACGGTGTTCTTCAACAAGGTCTAGGCTTGCTCTTATAAGTGCTTCGTTGTCAACCTCCTTATACAAGTCCCTTCAAAGTGAACCAGTTCCCACCTCTACAAAGATCATCGCTTCGCATCCGTATGCTAGCAAAAAAGGTGTTTTCGAGGTGGAGGTTCTTGGAATAGTTCTGTATGCCTATAGGACTTCAAGGAGGTTGTCAGCCCAATTCCCCTTAGCTGCGCCAAGTTTGGCCTTCAGAGTGTGCTTGATGGTTTTGTTGACAGCTTCAACTTGGCCATTTGCTTGTGGCCTTGCTACTGAGGCGAATTTTTTATGGATGCCCAGCTCGTCACAAAATTGTTTGAATTCCCCATTGTCGAACTGTTTCCCGTTATCTAAGATGAGGGTATGAGGAATTTCGTAGTGGCATACAATATTCTTGAAAAC